CAGAAAAGTTATTAAAAAAAAGAAAAAAAATCATAAACTGCAGCATAGTTTCACCCAGTAGTCCTGACCGGATTCAAACCGCTGACCACATCCATACAAACCACACCAGCCTCTCCGCTGCAACACCACGACCCTGCTGCATCATTAACGCTGGTTGTTGTATTTATATTCAGTTTTTATAATAGATCAGTGTATTATTAATACTGGGGCGTAGCCTCAGTATATATATAGGGGCGAAGCCCCTATTACCAGAGCTCTAGCTCTGCATACTGTGTCCGGTTACCGGAGCTCTAGACACTTCGTAATATTTTACCATGAAAGATCTGAGCAATCATGCATGAGTAGATGTGCAAGTATAATATAAACATCAAAGATTAACCTGAATGAGATGAACTACCGTAGGTCGGGTTATATTTGCGGCTGCTAATATTCGCGGTGATAAAAACTAATAAAGAAGATCAATTAAATACCATGGAAACAAATTGATTGTTGCTATGACGATTGACCACGTGTTTATACAATTACAGTGTTCAGCAGCTAATTAGCTACTCTTGAGCAGTTTGAGTAGAGCCATCCAGACTCCAGTTCTGTATCTGTTATCTTCTTGTATAGATGGACCGCTACCTTCGAGTTCTTCGCTACAAAATTACTGCTGGCCGGTCGGTCATCATTATAAACCACACCCAAATTAATGAAACACTAACTAGAGTGTGTGCAGAGTCCCAAGACATGGTGAGGCAGAGTGAGTAGAGTATTTCTGAAAAGAATTGGCTAAAGCAGCTTCAAAGTGTCCAAGGATTAGTAACAGCAAGAATAACAACTCAAGAACACTGCAATAGGGTGCTGTGCTTCAATAACGCGCCGTTTTCAATTAAAATAGCATCTAGTTGCTATGGCAATTGCTAGCCGCGGGAAAAAATTGCAAATATTAGCAGCCGTAAATATAACCCGACCTACGGTAATTGTTGAGGGCAGGGCTTATTATTTCATTAATAACTATTAGTTTATTAACTATTATTAAAATAAAGTGGGTGTGGTTGTCCTCGGAATCAAATCTTTTGGTACTGGAAATGTTTCGATACCAATTCGATACTGCCTAGGAATCGAAGAATCGAGTATTTTGGAATCGAAATCACCCATCACTAAATATAAGTCGTTGCGAGTTTTAAGTCGACTTGTGATCTTAAGTCGTCTTGTGATCTTAAGTCGTCGTGTGAGCATTCTTATGTCGTCATATCAGATAGTCGAATTTTGATACTATTGGATTGCCATACGGGAGCAATCTGATAAGCTTTGGAACTTTCCAAGTCAACGACAGCCACGGAAAAAAGGTGGTGAATCGTTTGCATCTCCTAGAACTTCAGAGAACACCTCAGAAACCTTCTCAAATATAGCGTGTGCTCGTATAGAGTGAGACTGACCACTGGGAGCTTCTGGAATACCACAGAGTACCAAATTAAATTTCCTGTTCTCCATAGAGCTAGACTAGGTCAATGATATAGGGTTTTTGACAATACGAGAGGACCGGGAAGGAACAGGTGTAGCACCAGGGTTAGAAGTTTTAGGACCCTGATTCAGCAGGTCATCTAACTTCTTTGCCACATCTGATAGAGAGGCTTTTAACAACTCTATTTCCTTTTCTTGCTTCACAAGGCTACAGTGAGGACAATAGAAGGGGGTATCAGTGCAATTTAGTTTTGAATATGCAGCCTTAGACAAGCCAGCACAGCCCCTATGAAGCCAGGTAGCACACTCACCATCACACCAAATAGACTGTTGAGTTGAGTCATCAATCTGGTCATCACAAATAGGACAAATATATGACTGTTTGCCTTTCTTCTTGGGCAGCTTCTTGGGAGGCATAGTACCGTAAAAAAGAAACAAACTCAGGTCCACACTGAAGTCAGACAGTGCTCAGTCAGACCCATGTGGTTGCTTTCAAACTCTGCCAGAAGCAGTAACTAAACCAAAGTAACACAGACAAAACAACTGGCAAAGTTTTGACAAAGCAAAATTTAGTGGCTGGCTGAAAACAAAGTAAGAGCCAGCAAGAAGACAAAAGAGAAGAACAGAGTGAGAGAGTCACACCACCATTTGACATGGTACGTCATGTCATTGATTTAATTTAAATTATTGAGTAATTTTAGTATATTCATATTTTTTTGAATGCAGTAGATCTACACTTGATGGGTATAGAAAGTGATATCTTTGAATGACTAATTTTAGTGTTCATAGTGCCACAAGAAGGAAGGTATCATGGTTTTTAAGCACTGACTGAAAATAATTTTTGTAGGCATTGATTCTACAGACTATAAAAAAGTACAACATGAAGAGATTTTCCATTGTTTTCTGCCTTACCATGGCGTGATTGTAATTTATCACTGAAAATGGCAGGATTTAAACTCGATTTAAACTATGATTACATCTTTAAATTATAACTAGCATTTTGTACAATACTAATAATAAAATCAGCCATAAATTTAGATTTATGCCTGTTGAATCATAGATAATAGAGACTAGTCAGACTACGTAACCTCTATATCTATACGTATACGTGTAGTATACGTAGTCTCTAATATTTATGGTTGAATTCATTGCCAGAGCAAGACTAAATTGTTAGGTGCAGCATATCTTAGGAGTACTCATCAGACCATAAATAATCTATGATCAGACTAACCATAGATACGCCGTTATTCGGCGCTCGTCTGCTCCGGACTGGGTAGTCTCGGTCCTCCCTAAAAACGGTAGGGTCTCAAAAGCGGAAGGACGGACGGACGGACCCGCCCCGCCCAAAAAGGGGTAGGGTTTCAAAAGCGGACGGACGGACGGACCCGCCCCGCCCGAAAAAGGACGGACGGACGGATTGATGCGGACCCAACAAGACCATAAATATCCATGTAAAGGACAATCATTCGTGGATGTTAGCGAAAATGTAACTTTATCAATGCAAAATTGCTACTACAGGCTGCATAAAGCATCACAATTCCGAACCATCACTTGAATTCTATTTGTTATTCTTAATAGGAGTTCAGTGACACTATTGTAATGATTTTTCTATATTATTTGGTGCAAGTCTATATCTTCAATCAATATATTCAAAGAGGAATTACCATTTACAGTGATTATAAGCAGGAATACCATGTAGACTATATAGTATGAGTATTATTAAATAAAAACTGCAATTTTTTAGAGCAATAATTATGTTTTGTGTGTTACCAACAGCAATCTTTAGTAAATTGGTTGCAAATCAACCTGATGAGACTGTTGACTGATACTTTTATGTAAGTTATTTCATCACAGCTGTACAAATAATATCTATGTTTTAACACTATAAAATTAGGATTATATATGATGTAAGTGAAGTTGAATCTATTGTATATAATGCCTTGTCATGTCAGAAGCCACTAGATTTTAATTGTAAGTTCTTTTTAAAATTTATTTGTCTACAATATTAATAGCGGATTTGTATAGGTTATTAAGCGTCATAAATCAATTTTTTAAATTTTGATTCTATTGAAAAATATTTTACTGTGACAAAACAAGCAAGTGCTGGTATGAATCAAAATTTTATTTGAATTAATGTTTTGTTGTTGAAATTGAATAGTGTGCTCTCAATGTATTTGAAAGAAAAGGTAGGGGTGCACACACAGAAGTTTAACTTTTCAGACTATACAATCATACTATGAAGTGGTATGTACAAACTTACAAATTTTAGTTTATTATTGCAACAGTTTGTACCCAAAAAAGACAGTTCCATTGACTGTGCAGCGCTTATCTGTGCAAATTATGCATATCTAATATGTTATTGTTAAAATCAATTGACTTTTAGTTTGCCTATACATCATACTGTGTTGTGATGGAGTGTTCCGATATGTTGTCCAAGTATAAATTCTATTGTAATGGTTATGCTCTGTCATAACATTGTTTATTAGATAACTTCAAAATTTTTGAGGCAATGGCTTATGACTCTCATGCTTCACCGTTTCAGGTACAATTTGCTATTGAAATGGAGTATCATTTTTATATAGGTGGAAGACAATAACTATTAGCGTTGCAACCAGAGTTGCTTAGTGCTAAGCAACTCTTTACAATGATTTACAAACATTAAAAAGGGATCTGCAAAAAAAGTGTGGCATTCCTAGCCCAGGTATGACAAAAATAAATATACTAGAAGTAACTATAATTTTTACATTTATTACGTAGGATAACTACTTTTTAGGCTGGATTCTAAAGCTCAATATAACTATTTCAAGGGGTCTCCTTATTTTTAAAGAGCAGTGATTTCAAGGATATTGAACTATTATTATTTTAATTGTGTAATTAAATGAAATCAGTATCTCAGTATAGTGTTGCATGCAATAGCACTGATAAAAATTAATCATAAAATTTCACTATGTTTATTATTAGACTTACACCAAATAATATAGAAAAATCATTAAAATGGTGTCACTGAACTCCTATTAAGAATAACAAATAGAATTCAAGTGTTAGTTCAGTATTGTGATGCTTCATGCAGCCTGTAGTAGCAATTTTGCATTGATAAATTTAAATTTTTGCTAACATGACCTCTTCTATTGGTCCTAGCATAGTTAATACATACATAAATTTATTGTCCAAGTATAGAAGTGTTTTAAAGACAGACTATCCATGAATGATTGTCCTTTACATGGATATTTATGGTCCTGTCGGGTCCGCATCAGTCCGTCCGTCTGTCCGCCCTTTTTGGGCGGGGCGGGTCTGTCCGTCCGTCCGCTTTTGAGACCCTACCGTTTTTTAGGGACGACCGAGACTACACAGTCCAGAGCAGATGAGCGCCGAATAACGGCGTATCTATGGTTAGTCTGATCATAGATTATTTATGGTCTGATGAGTACTCCTAAGATATGCTGCACCTAACAATTTAGTCTTGCTCTGGCAATGAATTCAACCATAAATAATAGAGACTACGTTTACTACACATATACGTATAGATATAGAGGTTACGTAGTCTGACTAGTCTCTATTATCTATGATTCAACAGGTATAAATCTAAATTTATGGCTGATTTTATTATTGGTATTGTTCAAAATGCTAGTTATAATTTAAAGATCTAATCATTGTTTAAATCGAGTTTAAATCCTGCCATTTTCAGTGATAAATTACAATCACGCCATGATAAGGCAGAAAACAATGGAGAATCTCTTCATGTTGTACTTTTTTATAGTCTGTAGAATCAATGCCTACAAAAATTATTTTCAGTCAGTGCTTAAAAACCATGATACCTTCCTTCTTGCGACACTATGAACACTAAAATTAGTCATTCAAAGATATCACTTTCTATACCCATCAAGTGTAGATCTACTGCATTCAAAAAAAATATGAATATACTGAAATTACTCAATAATTTAAATTAAATCAATGACATGACGTACCACATCAAATGGTGGTGTGACTCTCTCACTCTGTTCTTCTCTTTTGTCTTCTTGCTGGCTCTTACTTTGTTTTCAGCCAGCCACTAAATTTTGTTTTGTCGAAACTTTGCCAGTTGTTTTGTCTGTGTTACTTTGGTTTAGTTACTGCTTCTGGCAGAGTTTGAAAGCAACCACATGGGTCTTACTGAGCACTGTCTGACTTCAGTGTGGACCTGAGTTTGTCTCTTTTGTATGGTACTATGCCTCCCAAGAAGCTGCCCAAGAAGAAAGGCAAACAGTCATATATTTGTCCTATTTGTGATGACCAGATTGATGACTCAACTCAGTCTATTTGGTGCGATGGTGAGAGTGCTACCTGGCTTCATAGGGGCTGTGCTGGCTTGTCTAAGGCTGCATATTCAAAACTGAATTGCACTGATACCCCCTTCTACTGTCCTCACTGTAGCCTTGTGAAGCAAGAAAAGGAAATAGAGTTGTTAAAAGCCTCTTTATCACATCTGGCAAAGAAGATAGATGACCTGCTGAATCAGGGTCCTAAAACTTCTAACCCTGGTGTTACACCTGTTCCTTCCCGGTCCCCTCGTATTGTCAAAAACCCTATATCATCGACCTAGTCTAGCTCTATGGAGAACAGGAAATTAAATTTGGTACTCTGTGGTATTCCAGAAGCTCCCAGTGGTCAGTCTCGCTCTATATGAGCACACGCTATATTTGAGAATGTTTCTGAGGTGTTCTCTGAAGTTTTAGGAGATGCAAACGATTCACCACCTCTTATCTATGACTGTCGTTGACTTGGAAAGTTCCAAAGCTTATCAGATGGCTCCCGTATGGCACTCCAATAGTATCAAAATTCAACTATCTGATACGATGACATAAGAATGCTCACACGACGACTTAAGATCACAAGTCAACTTAAAACTCACGATGCCTTATATTTAGTGATGGGCGATTCCGATTCCAAAATACTCGATTCTTCGATTCCTAGGCAGTATCGAATTGGTATCGAAACATTTCCAGTACCAAAAGATTTGATTCCAAGGACAACCACACCCACTTCACTTTAATAATAGTTAATAAACTAATAGTTATTAATGAAATAATAAGCTCTGCCCTCAACAACTACCGTAGGTCGGGTTATATTCACGGCTGCTAATATTCGCGATTTTTTCCAGCGGCTAGCAATTGCCATAGCAACTAGATGCTATTTTAATTGAAAACAGCGCGTTATTGAAGCACAGCACCCTATTGCAGTGTTCTTGAGTTGTTATTCTTCTTGCTGTTACTAATCCTTGGACTCTTTGAAGCTGCTTTAGCCAATTCTTTTCAGAAATACTCTACTCACTCTGCCTCACTATGTCTTGGGACTCTCCACCCATTCTAGTTAGTGTTTCGTTAATTTGGGTGTGGTTTATAATGATGACCGACCGGCCAGCAGTAATTTTGTAGCGAAGAACTCGAAGGTAGCAGTCCATCTGTACAAGAAGATAACAGATACAGAACTGGAGTCTGGATGGCTCTACTCAAACTGCTCAAGAGTAGCTAATTAGCTGCTGAACACTGTAATTGTATAAACACGTGGTCAATTGTCATAGCAACAATCAATTTGTTTCCATGGTATTTAATTGAACTTCTTTATTAGTTTTTATCACCGCGAATATTAGCAGCTGCAAATATAACCCGACCTACGGTAGTTCATCTCATTCAGGTTAATCTTTGATGTTTATATTATACTTGCACATCTACTGATTGGTCAGATCTTTCATGGTAAAAATATTACGAAGTGTCTAGAGCTCCGGTAACCGGACACAGTATGCAGAGCTAGAGCTCCGGTAATAGGGGCTTCGCCCCTATATATATACTGAGGCTACGCCCCAGTATTAATAATACACTGATCTATTATAAAAACTGAATATAAATACAACAACCAGCGTTAATGATGCAGCAGGGTCGTGGTGTTGCAGCGGAGAGGCTGGTGTGGTTTGTATGGATGTGGTCAGCGGTTTGAATCCGGTCAGGACTACTGGGTGAAACTATGCTGCAGTTTATGATTTTTTTTCTTTTTTTTAATAACTTTTTCTGCTATTTTGTCTTTTTTGGCATTTTTAGGTCAAGAAATAAACACCTTCTTGTACACCTTAGCCTCCGGGGTCGTAGGGTTGGGATTGGGATTTAGTGTTTAGTTTTTAGAGCATAGGTCCAGAAATAACACCCTCTCGTACATCTTAGCTTCCGGGGTCGTAGGGTTGGGATTGGGGTTTAGTCTTTAGTTTTTAGAGCACCCTCTCATATATCTTAGCCTCTGGGATAGTAGGGTTATGGGGTTAGGATTTAGTGTTTCTTGATTAAAAGACTAAGTTCCATTTTGCACTATTGCGCATGCGCACAAGCTGTTTTATGGAGAAAAATAGACTGCCAGAGCTCTAGCATTCACAGACTATGTCCGGTTATCAGAGCTGTAGCCACAGCCAAAATATTAAGTTAGTCTTGGTTTGCTAGATCTAGGAATCTCTACAGCAATTGAAGTTAGGTACCTTCCTGTAGCATTTCAGTACTGAGAACTCTTGCTTCACAGGCTGCCAACTGAACTCAGCACAGAAGTATTCTGAATTAAAGATAATATTTTGAAAAGTTAATGCACATATTATTGTACCTAGGAAGGTAATTTTAGCTTAAAGCTGATTTGCTTTCAAGCTGTTCAAAT